CTAATCCCATCTCCCATAATGCCATTACTATTGAATCACAGGCCATTTAAAGGACGCTGTGAGCTTTTCATGTGCAACAAGCATTAGGGCTACTATTAGTTTGCGAAATGTTGTGTGTAATAGAAACAGTGGTATTCTTGAGAAGTGTCTTTTATCTTCATTGACATTTTAGCACCTTTTTAAAAACGCATAGCTTACATCTGGTATAGCAGCTTAAATGATAAAATGTTGAAGTACAAATCTGAATCTGAACTACTATTACTTTTAGCTTATTTGCGGTTTGTGCCCATGTAAAAACACTGGTTCATTCGATTCACTGTTTCATTCTATTCTAATATTATTTTTAATAAATACTGACCACTGCAGACTGGGATACAAGAGGCGTAGTTTTCGGGGATGCTTTGACCAAGTAGCCACCTAAAGTTGTTCTTTGTCAAGCTTATTTAAAGGTGCATTGTGTAACTTTTCTGACGGAAGGTCTGTCAAATCCTCTACTCCATAAAGATGTTAGTGCTTTGTCTGGAATGTTTCACAGTATGGCATTAAACCATTTCTACGTTCATGGAAATCAAACCAGACAAAGCTACAGGTCAGATCTGTGGAGAGGAGACCCCGCTCACAGTCAGAATGCCTGTTTTTCCAAGTGTTTTTAAGCGATAAAACCACCTGTAATTGAGTAAATGTAAAGTAGAGTTGTTTTATTTCATACTGTGGAGCATTCCAGGCAGAGCAATGACATATCCATAGAAACAAGCAGGACAAGACAGACCCCCCACCAAGAAGTTACATACTGCACCTTTAATTGATATTTATACTTTCTATTTTGTCTTTCTAAATGTATCCTGACTACCTTTCAGTATTCATAATGTCATGCCTGATGTCAGCAGTGGTTATGCATGAAGAGTTCCAATGTACAGGTGGGGTGCATCAAGGATCAGTTTTAGGCCCATACATTTTTTTTTTCAGGACGTTTTCCAGAGAAATTAACAATTCAAAATTAAATATTAGGTTTTCTGATGTCAAAAGTTCTCCTAATGGCTTCCATAATAGGAAAAGGTAATACAATGGAAATAGTGGAGTATTTATTGTCAAGATGAGGTTTGATGGGAATCTTCACCATCAGGCTTTGAAGAACTAAGACCGAAGAAATATGGGGCTAAAGGAAGAAAAACAATGTTGTGTGAGAGAAGACAATTTAGAAAAGTGGCTAAGATGGAGCGAGATGGTTTGCAGTGATATCCTACACAAGGAAGTTCATAGCATCATGTCTAAACGCTAACAGCTGCTAAGGTGAAACCGTGCAAATATTGACATGATAAAATTACCAGCATTTGTGAATTTAATGTGCGTGTGACAGATTTTTATGATTCTTTAACTTAATATGGTAGGGATATAACTATTGTAAATATAAATTATAGTTTTGCACCAATCACGAAGCAGTCTGTGGAGAAAAGTTGAAGAATATGTTGACAATTAATGGAAGTAGAGAATTCTAAATACACTAATGAGTTCATATTGGGGAGTATTCTGTCAAAAACGTCGGATTTTGTTGTATTTATATTTGTGTGATAACAATGCACTAGTATGTGTACATTAGAGGCGTTTTGGAACAGTGCACTACATTGTTGTTAGATAACAGTTATGGGATTGCCTTGTGCGATGTCACAATTTCCAACTAGGAAGTAAAATTTTAAACCTAGAAAAAATGGCCAGATTGTGAAAATGTTTTTGCAAAAATCTTAAATATAACAATATTATCTGTGTTTTAGTAAAATGAGTAGTCCAACCTGTCATAGGCACTTTAAGAGTACAATAACAAGTTAAAAGTTTCAGCTGAGACAATTTTCATAAAATACCTGACCCCTGACTTTCATTGGAGGATATGAGTTGAAAATGAGGAACAATGTAAAAATGCCCATATGGCTTCGAACAGAGCTTCTCACTTCAGAAAGCCCCTCTGTTCCTTTGTGAGCCTGGGAGCGGGCAGGTGGTCAGTTTGGAGTACAGTAAATTAGCAGCCAGTCTAGTAACAGTGGCCAGCTGGTCACACCAATATGTGACAACATGAAGGCACAAGCCACAGACAGTCCCCTTCTTAGCACCATAGAGTATAGCTTCAAAGTTGTGTAGCACTTTTTCTAAATTAAGCCACTTTTCCTGTGCTCTCTGCTCCTCTCGGATCATTCCGAAGCTTTTTGTGAAGGCACTAAATGTACTTTGTTGCCACACTTTAGCTATCGTTTTCCCAGAATGCAACACTAAATGAGTTATATGTTCTTTTGAAAATATTTTTGTAGTCTTTTGTAAAGTTAGATAAGTCAAAGGAAAGTTTGTTACACAAATCAGGCATAAATTATGACTTGCAGATAAGCAGGTGACGGACTCCACAACCGAAAAGTTACATAGTGCACCTTTAAAGACACTATAGTTGAATGAAAAGGCCTTCAGCGTCTTGTCTGTTTGCAGTGGATCAAGGTTATTATTCAGTTTCCAATGCATTCCTAGAACTCTAACTATTCACCACAACTTTCAGAGACCAAAGTTTTGTATTGCTGTAGTAAAGCTAGAAACTACTAGCATGTTAACAGCACACTTCCTGGTTCTCGGACGATATAACACACGAACAGCACACCGAACTGCTTTTACAATATATATGCACTGGCTCAACTACATGAACAAAAATCAGAGACAGCCACTTTAAAGGTGCACTGCGCAACTTTTCTGGTGAGAATCCACTACCTAGTCTCCATGGAGATGTTATTGATGTTCCACAGTATGTCATTAAGCAAATACATCTTACATTTATTCAATTATAGGAGTTTTTATTTCTCAAAACTATCACAAAAGCATGCTTGTCTCCACGGAGATGGAAAAAAATTCAATTAAAAGCCATACTGTAGAACATTCAAGGAAAAAAACAATAACATCTTTTTTTTGTCAATTTTTGTCCATTCACACTTCAGTTCTGTTCTAATGGGGACCTCAAAATGTCTATCCTATATCTGCACTGTCGTCCAAATATAGGGTGAGTTTTGGGATGGATGCGGTCATTGGGACGGGCCAAAATTTCCGACGTGATGTGAGATGGATTATTTGTGAAGTACCAGGACTGTAAACGGACACTGGGTTCGTAGAAGGAGCTGATATCATTGTCTTGTTATGGCAGTAGGGAGGATAGTTAAGCCCCACTGGTGTACTGACCTCTGCAATCATGTGGGACCAATGACTTTGTGCTGAAACAAAACAAAAAAACACTATGTCTTGTTAGCGCCACACAGACCTGCCTTTTCTGAACTCCAGAGAGAACGTACTATAGCTATAACATAAATGTCAAAATATATAGGGACAATGCACTTTTTAGATCTTGATTATAGCTTCGTAAGGGGATGTCCTAACTTTCGTTTTTGAAGCATAAAAATGGCAAAAGGGCAATCCATGTAATCTTGAGACATTTCTAACCACACAAAAGTGCTATAATCATTTCCACGCAACAGTCACCACGACAACTGTCATCTGTTTAAATGGCAGCGGAAATAAATGAACTGCTCAAGAGTGAAAAGGTTACACAAAAAATGAGTCTGCCTTCACCTGTGTACTCTACTTTGCATTGTGTATTTCTATAGCAAAACAGACAGGTGTAAATGAGTGTAGTTTTCAGCTGTAATCCTTTTTCAGAATGTAAAAATCCAGACTCACAACTGAAAGTATTTAAATTAGCCCACCATATTAATGCACTGGTGTATTACAATCTGTCCTGTATGGTTTGAATGTTTTTAAATTGTGTGCGTTAAATGTTGTTTGTGCAGTGTCCTTGAGGCAGAGCTGGGACCAAGTCATTGTTTTGCAAGTCTCGAGTAAGTCTCAGGTCTTTGATCTCAAGTCCGAGTCAAGTCCCAAGTCAAAAACAGGCAAGTCCAAGTCGAGTCTCGAGTCACTGGCCCATAAGTCCAAGTTAAGTCCAAGTCAGCTGCTTTGAGCTTCAAGTCATTTCAAATCTTTAAACCAAAGTGCCAAATATAGCTTACATTTTTGCTATGTATATAATTTTTAAACAAAATTATACTTAAAAAGTCATGGTACATGATTTTTAAGATTTAAGAGTGCTTGATAACAGTTACTTTTTCAAATAGGCTAAGCATCAAGTCTCTTCAAGTCACAGGGCTCAAATCCAAATCAAGTCCCAAGTTATTGACCTTCAAGTCCAAGTCGAGTCCCAAGTCTTTGTCCATTTTATCAAGTCAAGTCTCAAGTCCTAAAAATACTAACACAAGTCTGACTCAAGTCCCCATCTCTGCCTTGAGGTGCATTTAAAGTTGCATTGTGTAACTTTTCTGGTTATGTTATTGCTTTGTTTGGATTGTTTCACAGTATGGCATTACAGATTTGTACGTTCATGGAGACCAAAAAGTTGCAGGTGAGATCTGTGGAGAGGCGACCACACTCACAGTCAGAATGCCTGGTTTTCCCATGGTTTTTTGGACCTATAAAACCATCTGTAATTGAATAAATGTAAGGGAGAACTGTTTAATGTCATACTGTGGAACATTATTATTATTATTATCATTATTATTTAAAACTATTGCCTGTTTGTATAATGTGATAATGCTGTTTACATGGTTACAGAGTTAGACTTTCCACAATGTATTTTCTCTCATCTCTGTAACATAATTAGCTTGAGTGGACAACGCCGGCATAATTTATAGCTGGGCTTCAATTTCATTTTAAAATATTTCTAGCGTACATTTTGCTGGATCAGTTTCAAGACTGGGCTGGCTTTGTGTATTGCTTTAAATATTACACTCTATTTTCTAATTGATACTTATCTACTTAAAAGTTTTTTTTTTGTGTAAGTCTGGAAATCCAATCTAATCAATCAAAAGTTTATTTTATGTACAAAAATCCATAATGAATGCATATTTTAATTATTAATATGACCAAATATAATACTTTGAGATGGAGATGTTCCACTGTATGGCATTAAACTTATCTCATCTCCCACCAGGTCAAGTTATGGATCATATCTGTTGAGAGGCAAGCCCACTCACAGTAAGAACCCATGTTTTACAATGTATTTCTGAGCAATAAAAACACCTGTAATTGTTTAAACACAAGATAAATACGTTCCATGCCATACTGTGGAACCTTTCAGGCATAGCAATAACGTTGTCATGGGGACAAGCTGGTAGCAGATCCTACATGAGAAAAGTTATGTGTGTATGTGTAAAGTAAAGTCATGTGCTAGGTCAGTTAGACTTCTGCCATAATAAAGAGATGAATAAAACTCGGCTGATACTTTGAATTTCGCATTTTTCAGCTAAAATATAACTTGTTTGTTTGCCATGTTTTTTCTTTTTTTCTTTTGATGCACATTAAACAACTCTCATCTGGTGAAAACATGACCTGGTTTGTTTGATGGAGGTGGAAAGGAGGTTGGATAGCAGCAGGGTGACTCTCACTTCAGGTCCACAGCTTCATCAGTCCATGTTTTAAGTGGAGAAAGAACACTGGAGGAAGAAGGACGAGGAGAGGAATCATATAATATCGATGGCCACGACAACAGAGCCAGCCAAATTGAGTAGTTTTCAACGTCGCTTTCCTCCCACAGGATCAGACATCGTCCAGGGAGAGGAGGATTTGAACAGAACCCTGGTTGGTGAGTGTGTGGAGGAGGAAGAGGAGGAGAGACTGGTCCGGCCGTCAGGGTCAAATCCGAAAATAAAGAAAACAACGACAACAGCAAGAACAACAATCACAACAATATCAACAGTAACAACAACAACGTCACAAACATCATCAGAACAAACCAAAGAGAAACTCAAACAGGAGTCCACGCGGTCACTTCTCTTCATCTTTGGTATAAAAATGGCCATCCACGGGCTGCATGTACCCACACCTAGGAAAGACTACAGAAATTGTCAACAATTTCTTCTATTGCTTTTGCGCTGATTGGTTTAAACCGTAAGCTCCTACTGTACTCTATCTACTGGTTTGTTTCACTGCCAGATTTTTTATCCATGTGAATTTTAAAGCTGCACTATGCAACTTTTCTGATGGAAGCTCCGCCAGTGTGTCTCCATGGATTTATTACTGCTTTGCTTGGAATGTTCCACGGTATGGCATTAAAATCATCTTCATTGAGACAAGCTGATGACGCAACCAGGTCAAAATTAAGAGCTGGATCTGTAGACTAATGATGTACGTTTTCAAGGTGTTTTTTTTGTTGTTGTTTTTTTTTACAATTTCCTACACAAATAATTTAATAAATGTCCGCAAGATAAGTCGCCATGCCATGCAACAAAATATTCCAAAGCAAAGCAATGTGATCTCCATGGAGACAAGCTTGTGGCAAACCCCCCTCCTGAAAAGTCACACGGCGCACCTTTAAACTCTGAACACTTTTTTCATGTTACGCAGTGTGACAAGCAAAGCGGGCTAAAAACATCTTAAAGCTCATAAAAAAGATCAAATGTGGCAGATAAAAAGCACTAATGTCATCGACAGCAACTCTTGTAAAATCATAAACATGGTCATAAAAAAGTTGAGCTCTGCATCCACAGTGCAGCATGTTTTCTTTTTCCTCGATGTGAGAAATCTCTTCATAGCATCACCCCCCCTAGAGTCCATCCCCACACAGACACATAGTTACCTCTCACATAATTATCAAAGTTTTCCTCTAAAAGAAAAAGCTCTCTATTAAATCTGTACAGCTTATGTCATAGATTTTTTTCTGTAGAACAACTCCGCCGCATGGTCCAAAACTCCTCGCGTTAACTTTTGTCCTCTTATGGACTTCGGAGTTAAAAAGTTTCTAGCGCCCTTGAAATTAAGGCCATGAAGATTCCAAAAAGAAAAACACTTTTGAATATATCTAGAAAACTAAAATTTAACACTACAACATAAAAAAGAGTGAAAAGAAACATAGCTTAATATCTGAGGAAGACAATCTCTGTGTGTGTCTCAAACCCCTGTTTTAATTACAAAATAAACTTCATCACCTACCTGCGCATTCATCCTTTTTTAAAATATTTTTTGTTAATTTTTTTTTTGTAATTTTCTATATTTTTTTTTTATGATTTTAATTTCATTTTTTGAGAAACATTTCAAGCTTCAGCCCAGCCCTTCAGGCAGGTTCCAGACTAAACTATCTTGCACTGTGCCCAGTCTTGTCCCTATGCGTTCCTTAGCGTCCTCCTCGCCTCCTTCTGTTTTGTGTGGTTTTTCTCGTAGGCCAGGTAGGAAATGAAAAAATTGTCTGTTTTTTTTTGGTGCCTGGGCAATCTGGAAGCAATCTTTTTCTCTTCTTTTCCTCCGCGTTCACAGTGCAGCCACCTTCTGTCTCAAGGCAACGCTGTCACAGGACCACTCGCTCGACCGCCGCTATCTGATGAGAGGGGGGCAGAGGAAGAGAGAGCAGTGAGGAGACGAGGAGCTAGGAGACTGTAATCAAAGAACAATATTACAAACAGGACAGGGCTCTGGTGATGACAGCTGACGAGCCGAGAGACGCCGGAATCAGCACTTCTCACAAGGACACTACAGCTACGCTAACACAAGACTGCACTTTACAATCATTACTGTCTTATTTGATTAGCGCCCCATTTGTACTACACTTCTGCTATCCCAAAGTTCCATTAGGTCATTTGTCTTGATTTCTGGCTTTAATATTGTGAAATATGTTTATTGTATTTATTATATTTACGATAATTAATTGTATTCAACATATTAAGGTCCTATATTATGCAAAGTTGGCTCTTGAGCTTTAAGCCATGTTATAATGTTGTTACCTCATCAAAAACATACCTGGAGTTTTGTTTTGTTTCATTTACACATGTGGCTAAGCCTTTATTATTAGTCTGTCTACACCTCCAAAGCTCAAAATGCTCTGTTCCACCTTGTGAGTTCATGAAGCAGTAGTTTTCCAGTTAACAGGAACCTTTTATCTTTTGTTTAGGCGGCATCCACACTTGTACGTATTCGAGTCGCTTTAGTTGCGGATCCAGTGTTCGTCCACACTAATCCGATGGACAACGGCTCCAGAGATGAAACGATCTAGTGCCGCCAGCTCCCAAGAATTCATCTGAGTACGGATCTGATCCAGCACCACACATAGGTGTGTAGGTCTACGCGCAGTGAAGTAATTCACCGCCAAAACGCTAGAATATATATTTAATTCAAGAGGCTAGAATGACCTGCAGACGTATAATCTCGGAAAAGTTTCATATGAACCATTTCCAACACGATAGAAGCACAGACTCACCATTAGCAGAACACTTCTCTGTCACAGAAAGAACACTCATATTCCACCGAGTTGTGTCCTTTTTAGTCCGACAGAAGCTGAACTGCATCAGCGCACAATAGCGAGATGTTTTTTGAACGCTCATTTTATGCAAATTAGCCATGCGGTTTTAAGATTCGCTTCTGTAAAATGTAAACAAATATGCTCAAATCTGTGTGGAAAGGGAAGGCTTGCATACACAGAAACAAAGTGTCTGGACGTAAATCTTTTCTGATGTGGTGATCCAGTGATATGTTTCAGTATAAACGTAGCCTTAGTTGGCAGTTCCAGAACTGAAATTATCCAAATGATTCTCATGATGATATATGGAGTAGTTCCTGTCTTGCCTCATGACATCACAAGGTGGAACAGAGTGTTTTCTGTTTGAAGGAAGAACTCAGCCTAAATATGCAGGATCTGTGTGTTAAACATGTGAATAATACAAAACACGACTACTGATATGTTTGTGATGAGGAAACAACATTATAACATAGATCAGAAAACAGCGTAACATGAGCCCTTTAAGATACAAAATTCTGTGAAAAACAAGTTGGGTGACATTTTGAAGAAGGCTTTCCTTATTAGCGCTCACCACCGGATATTACAAATTACAAGTAATCATGATATTCTAATGGGCAATCTTTGGACAACCTAAATGATCAGAGTCTGACTGCAGAAATTAGCTATTACATCAAAGTGGAGCCATTTCCAGAACATTATTTCCAACTAAATTTGGCACCCAAAGATAATATGAATTTCATTTTCAGAATTTGTAGCTATATGCTGTACAAGGGGCAATGAACAAGAAACTATTAGTCTTTGACACCAATTATATATATTATACCATTTACAGTGTTAGGCCTTCTTTAAAGGTCTTATATTACGCTAAATTGACTCTTGTGAGCTTTAACAAGTTATAATGTTGTTGTCATCAAAAACATAAGTGGAGTTGTGTTTTGTTTCATTTACACGTGTCTGAGTGACCCTTTATTATTAGTCTACATCTCCAAAGCTCAAAATACATCACCTTGTGATGAGATGTAGTGGTATTTTTAAAAGTTAACAGCTACATTTTACCTTTTGTTCACTAGAGATTGGAAATTCCAGGGTTGAAATTATCCAGATGATTCTAGTGAAGGTTTATCTACTTTGAAAACACAGTGGAGCTCTTCCTTTATTACTAGGGGTGTAGCAATAACCGAAATATCTTGATATTGAATCGTCAGAGTTCTCACAATAATATCGTGGACCATCACAATATTACGAATTACAAGTCTCTTTGCTTAAATTAAGAGTTATGGTGCAGCAATAGTTAAAAAAGACAGAGGGAACTACATAGACCATGATCCTTTGCTCCATTTCAGTGTAGACTACATGAAGACATAACAGTTCTAAGCACTTTTAAGTCTTGTCAAGGCATTTTAAGAGGAAAAAGTAGCATATTAACAGTTTTGTTAACAGTTTTGCTTCCACAAAATATCACAATAAATATCGTACAGTGAGGTTCATACCGTGACGATGTTGTATCATGAGCCTTGGATATCATTATACCCCTATTTATTACCACATGACATCACCAGATGGAACAGACTGTTTTCTGTTTGAGAAAAGAACTCAGTCTAAATGTGCAGGATCTGTGTGTTAAACATGTGTGAATGAAACAAACACAACTTTAGGTATGTTTTAATAAGGAAATAGCATTATAACATAAATCAGGAAACAGAGTATCACGGGCCCTTTAATAACAGCGTGTTAACCCTGACAGTGTCTGGTGCAGTTGTTGGTCAGTATAACAGCTCTCACTTGGACTGGTAGGAGTATGCTGGGACGTGGTCAGAGTCCACCTGCATCTGTTGCTGCTGCCCGCTCACCTCCTGTGACGAGGGCGCCACCGTCTGCGGAGAGTCCGTCACTACTCCCTACGGCGACACACACACAGGACACACTTAGCAAAGGGACAAAGCATTCTCTATGTGCACAAACTGTGAATGACGTTTGCATAATATTCCCAGGGTGAAAACTGAAATTGCAAAGTCACATTTTACATTTTCTTAAAGCGTAACAATCTCTAAGTTTTTTTTGGTCCGCCACCTACTTTTCTCCATGGAGATATTTATATTACTTTGCCTAGAATGTTCCACAGTAAACAGTAAATGTATCTTTCTCCATTGAGACCAGACCAAGTTATATGTCAGATCTGTGGAAAGGCGACCCCACATGCAGTAAGAATAGAGGATTTTCCAGGTATTTTTCAGCAACAAAAAGCTATAATTAAATAAATACAAGATAAGCACATCTTATGTCATGGAAACACTAACATTTCCATGGAAACAAGCAGCAGATGGACCCTCTCACCAAAAATGTTACACCGCGCTCCTTTAAATTGTGCTTTCAAAAACCGACTACACCATATTTATAGCTCACAATGTTAACACTTTTTACAAACAAAAAACTTTCACATTTGCAAACTCAGTTCTCCAGTTTCCTACAATGTGCCTTTATCTCTTTGAAAATTAGATTGTAAAACTTGAAATTGAAAATCCCCTTTGCCCTCCAGTGCATCGGTCTTCCATTACTGATCGTCTGTGCTATGGCCTCATTTCAATCACGTTTAACAAGCTCTCAAGGATAGCGCATTGTGTCCATTCATCAGCCTCGGGAAGCGCTTCTACTCCGATGTTCACCACTCTGCCACTGCTGCTGCCGCTGCTGCTGCTGTGGGCGTGTGGGGCTCAGGACCAAAACAGGTGAGGAAATGCCACGGGCTACTTCCTGGCTCCATCTCTCTCTTCTGTCACCGCGTGGGGGGAGATAGACACCGGGACTAATGGCTGTGTCAGAAGGAGCTGTCAGTGTGTGCGTGTGTGTATATGTGTGTGTATGTGCGTGCGTGTGGATAAAAGCTTTTGGGAGGCTAGCGGCCCGTACAGGCTGGGACAGGAGCAAGACAGTCCCCCCGGCTCTGTGTCTCTCACTCCTGCCCCTGTCGCCGCCTGCCGCTCCGGTGATCGTCCATCTGAAAGCAGCGCCTGTCAACCGCAGACATCCCCCCCCCCCCCGCCCCACCCCACACGCCCCCACCCGCCGCTCGTCTGTCCGGCCCCCTCTTCTCATGTGAGGGATGATCAACGCTTAAAAACTGCCACAGGCCCAGACGCGCGGCGAGAAAGTGACAAAGTCTGCCTCCAACTTTAAATGTCTTTCTCCCAAATCAAACTTCCGCCTCATCTGCCTCGGCTCTCGGTGCACCATCTTTCTTACTCTCCACCTCAATGTATCCTCAGTTTTATCATGAAATGAGAAAGTCCAATGAGATCTGTCTATTTAAAGAGAGACGAAAGTGGCGGAAAGCGAGAAAAACTTTCAAGAAGAAGGAATGCAGATATTAGCAAAAGTAAAGGTGATTCAAGGTAGTTCTCTTCAGAAGGGTCCTTTGAGTGTATGTTCATGTCCTTATAATAATTTCATCCAAAAGTATCTATGTTTACAACTTCAGGACTTGGAATATTATGATTAGCAAGTGTAAAAAACCTCCAGTGCATTAATTAGAAAAAGGTCTTCTGCCTCATCTTCTTTTATGAGTCAAGAAAAAAATAGTTGTTAGGTAAAGTTTAACGCATTACATCCAGACTCTGCGTTCTACTTTCAGCTTCAAGGTAGTCCTGTTCAAATGAGTCCTTTGTGTGTTTTCTAACCTGTAATTTGGCTTGCAAATCTCCATGGAGATTCTTAAATTCATGGCCAGACTGTGGAACATTCTAGACACATCACAAGCAGGTGATAGGCTCTGCATTGGACAAGTTACACAGTGCACCTTTAATCAAAATGTGTCTATGTTTAAAACTCTGGATCTGGTTGAAAACAGTGCAGCGTAATAATTAGAAAAAAGGTAGTGGCCTCATTTTCAATAAACTTCTTATTTGAACCTTGCACTCCTAACGCTGCAAAAACTCAAATCTAGCCAAGTTAAGATGACGAATTTGGAAGTTTTATTATGATTTGAGTAAATTTCACTTGACAAGTAAAATGAACACTTCTTTGCACTTAAAATATGAAACTAAATCTAATGTTGTCTAATCTAATGTAAGAGAAACACAGAGGTAGATCATTTTATTTGTCAAGCTGAATCTACTCTAGTAAACTGAAATGTTCTTAATTTCAGACATTTTAACTTACCTAGATATTGATTTTTGCAGTAAATACTTCCTACAGGCTGTGTTGTTTGCTGTGTTAATAATAATAATAATAAAAGTGGCCATATTAGTGAGTGGGGGTCTCACCTCGACTGGGACGGCGGTGGGAGGCACAGGAGTGTACTGGGGGATGTAGGTCCCTTGCATAGGCGCCGCAGCGGCTGCAGCAGTCATGTACTGAAACACACACACACAAGACAATGATCAGTCATACATATGTCACAGTAAACAACAATATACAACTATATACCTGAAGTCTTTAAGTGCCTATGACAGGTTAGACTACTCATTTTACAAAACCACAGCTAAAGTCATTATATTTAAGATTTTACACAAACATACACTTTTTTTTCACCCAAGTTTGGCAAATTTTTTAGGTTTACTTCCTGAATTGAAATCACGACACCATATTAGGGAATTCCACAACTGTTACCTAGCAACCATGTAGTACACTGAGCCAAAAGTCATCTAATGTACACAAGAAGTAATATTTGACAAATAGAAATGTAAAAAAACAACAACAAAAAAACTAAAACTTTGGAGAAAATTCTCCCGTCTAATGTCATCAATATCTCTCTAAAATAGAGTTCTTTGCTTCCTGTATTGTTCAACATGTTTTCAACTTTTCTTCCCATATTGCTTCTTTATTGGTATAAAACTATAATTTATGTTTTCATTAGATATTATGCCACAAAGTTAAGTCAATACTTGAGAATCATACGCACTTAAACTGTATCTACTGCCCATGTGCAAAAGCCTGCAATGCAATCCGTGTCCTTTAGAGGGGGCTAGAAGAATACAACTGCACCATACTGTGACCAGAACAGATCCAGCGAGAGAAGACAGGAGGAAGAGGAGGAAGAGTTGTCCTGCTGTTGTACCACACAGGCGGAAAATGCACCGTGTCACAGCCCAAAGCAAGAGAGAAAAAAGACAGATAGTGAAGACAGAGAAAAAGACAGAAGAGAGGAAAGAGAAGAGAGGAGAGAGGATAGAGGGGAGAGGGAAGGAGAGAGAAGAGATGAGAAAGGGAAGAGGAGAGAAAGGAGAGAAAGGAGAGAAGGGAGAGAGGAGAGGGAGAGTGGAGAGAAGAGAGGAGAAAAGAGTGTTGCCTGCTGCCTGTGGCCTACACTCTGTTAGTCATGGCTGCCCCGGCTCTTAAGCGCGACTCTCTCTGCAATGGCCATTTCACACATGTGACACAGGTCTGATTACACAGCTGCAGAGTCAGGGCAGAGCTGGAGCTGTCCTCACACTCATGTGAGTACCATGTGTGTCTTTTTAATAAACACTGGCAGAGCACAGGATGAACCAGAGCACTCTCCATGTGCACAACATACTACAGAAGTAGATAGAGAGATACAGGTGGAGAGATACTTCATCCATTCCCCTTAAAAGACATTCACACAAATAATCAGACTTTACATTAGTGCATTATTCAGTCACTGCAACACTACTGCTGTAGCCACAGCTGCCCTGGGGCAGACTGACAAAGCAAAGTTACCAGTCTGCGTCATTGGCCCCTCTGAGCACCACCATCCAAAGTGAAGTGTCTTACATAAGGACACAACAGCAGTTTCCCCTAGAGCCACTGCCACCCCACTACGAAAGAACTGTCACAGGGGACAGAGGGAGGGACAGAGGTCTCACCCAGGGGGACAGAGGGACTCATGCAGGGGGACAGAGGCCCGGATAGAGGGCCTGTCAGAGGGCCTCAGAAAGGTACTCACAAAGGGACTCACAGCGGGCCAGAGGAGGACAGTGGGGGACAGTAGAGGGACAGTGGCGAAGGACTCGTGCTCATTGGCTGAGGGCCTGAGGTGCGTCTGAAGTGTCATTACTGGCAGCGTTGCTAATGGATCGGGTACAGCTCCAGTGCTCAGCGCTAATGAGAGCAGCTAAAGGCCAGAGACATGGGTGATTACCTCCCCCTCCACCAGAGCCCATGTCCCGGGGACGGATGTTAGTGTGTTTGTTATGTGGATTTAAGGTTATCACACTACAGGGTGTCACCTACAGGGTGTCACCTACAGGGTGTCACAGTGAGCGCAGAGCCATGTGTCCAGACTCCCTGACACGTTAGCTCAGAGCTCTACGCTCGGCTCTCACCTGTCAGCGTGTCTCTGCACCTGCCACAGTCTAAAAGGCCCATCAGATTGTTCCAGTGACCTTCTCCCTGCCCACCTCCGAGCGTGCATACCAATTTAGCAACGCACTGTTTTTGTGCCCTTAACTTATTCAGCCAGCTCACCTGTGAGGGGGCTGAAAGCAAATGAAGCCCAGTACAGAGATAATTAGCCCTATCAAAATCTTCCTGTCAAAGGAGACTGTCCATTTGAAACGTTAGATTTCTCTGCAGAACTGCAAAAGGAATTTAAATTAGGCTTAACAAGAAAATGTAATATGATTTTTCCTTCTTCCATAACCATTAGTTAACCTATTTAATGTGACAGGTTGAGCGGGGCATATTTCTGCTGGCTCTACTGTACAGAGTCAGGAGCATGTCAGGCCTGACTACAGTGAATGGGGTTGCCATGGTGATAAAGATGATTTTTGTCCAATTTCAAGTCTGAATACGTCCGTGTCCATAGGCGCAGACAGGTTTGGGCAGTAGAAAGCCTCCCTAATTGGCAGTAATAGGGTGTACTTGGGTGGTAGTCACAGATCTAGGTGCCACACACCTGTGTGCAGCAGATGGTCCTGCGTATGCTGATGAACAGCTCTTTAACGAGAGGCTCTGAGGCCACTCCTCTGTCTCCTCTTCATCACTCCTCTGTCTCCTCTTCATCACTCCTCTGTCTCCTCTTCATCACTCCCCATGACACACAGCTGAACTACGGCAGGAAGTCACACTGCAATGCAGCAGCTACAGAAATCCATACAGACAGGACGCTGGGAGCCCAGTGCACCGCCACACAACACGACACACACACAACACTGCCACACACACACACACACACACACCTCCACATACAACATAACACACACACAAGACCACCACACAACACCACATGCAACACTGCCACACACACACACACACACACACACACACGCACACACGGACACACACACACGCACACACACGCACACACACACACACACACACTGCCACACAACAACACCGCCACACAACATCTCCTCACAACACCACACACACACGTCACATAGCACCGTCACACAACACCTCCACACACAACATACCACAAACAACCGTGTGTTTAGATATAATAAATATAAAATATAATAATACACTTATAATAAAATGTATAAGTGCTGGTCCAGCTCAGGCATCAGGACGGAAGAAGCGTGAGGATGGAGCATAAAGTTGCAGGTTAAAATCTGTTTTGAGAACTTACAGAAACGCATTTATCAATTGGAAAATAGTGAATAATAATATAAAGATAGTGTCATGTTTTTGTCACATAGGAGGCTGTTAGTAGTCCCAGAGAACAGGACCAGAGCAGGACTGAGGCTGCAGACTTGTGTGCAGGCTGGACATAAACAGTTGGTGGGAGCACTCAGTGTGTTATTAATGGAGGGCCAGTGTGGGGATGGACTCTGATGACTATTGATCTCACAGGAGGGACCGCTGCAGTCTGGAGCAGCCGCTTACTTCACAAAAGTCATTGTGCCTCTAGACTTTGTTAACATCTGTCTGAAGAGATCCACACTGGCCACAATCAATGTCACCTTTAAATACAGCACACTCATTCATCTGAAACGGGAGCACTGCACAGGAGAGCTCTGCTATTTTCAAATAGCTCATATTACAATGTCAGTGTATCTTCGGAAATGACACAAAATATAAGATAACTTTTTTTTTAATTGAAGATCTTCTGTTGAATAGTTCTAATGTAATAGTTGCTCATATCCTGGTGGAGTCTCAGGCCAAATTCTTGTAAATCTAAAAGTGCCAGGGCAGTGCTGGAGGGCTTTTAAAATAATGCACTGTACTTGTTCATCCCAAAAGGAAACCGAGAGGATGGCCCTGATAATGGGGGACAGCATTTCATACAGATCTGTCTCCCCACAACACAGAACCTGTCAATCACTGCTGTCACCATGACAACACACTCCTGGCTTCGACGAGGCGAGGAAGGTCACCTGTGTTGTGTCAAACACAGCAGCTCCAGGCCTCATCCTCACACTTTGTTTATTTACATGAGACTTGTACATGTTAAATATGGAGCACACATGCACTTGTGCACGAGCGAGAGTACATGTGACAGATAGACTGCACTTACGTGTGAGTGAGTTAGTAAATAAAGTGATTCATAAACAACACGCACTGTCAAATAAATCAGGCAAAAGAACATGGCGTGCATTTTTATGAGTACCATCCATAAACACAGATCTTTAGCATTCTGGAGTCAACTTAATCAAGGCTGACAACTCCGTCTCAGGAAGTCAAATCAAGCAGAAAAGTTTGGAAAGGCAGAAGAATTCCTTTGCATTGACTGCTGCCGCACATGCCCCATAACAACATCACCAAAAATCACCACCACCACACCACCACCAGCACCAGCACCAGGCCTGGTCAGGAGCCAGGGCTTGGTGCAAAATAAGAGCCAGTTCTTGGAAATCCCTGTTGTAATCAGTGCATGGGTGGAACAAGAACATTTAGTTCTTTGGAGACTGGTTTTAACCACAACCATAGACACACGGAGGAGAGCCATGTCCTGGGGGTGTGGCCTCAGTCTGCACTCAGAGGAGCTGGGGATGGAGGCAAGTCAGACAGGTGCCATTTTGGGGCAAAGAATAAGTCTCTGACCAAAATGGGGGGAAAAAAAAACAAAAAACAAACAAACAAAAAAAACACCACACCGTACCAGAAGGAGACAGTGTAATCATGTGAAAGGTTTTATGTCAGATGCTGTTCCTGCTCAACTCTTTCTCTTTACCTGGACATAAGACAGGAACACGATGAGACTGAACCGAAACGGGAAGTTATTAATACCTTACTTGCTTGAAAAAACAAGCCTTTGACTGTTTCTAAGGTTGGTAACTGAGATTCTTGCACATGCACTAGAACTATGGCCAAATAGATGTAAAAAATGCTTATTACATTTATTTATTTCTGAATACTTCCCAGTGTCTTAACCTTGAACAATGCACTTCACCACAATATTTTGGCTATTCAATCTTATTTGTAGCTTATTTATTTCACAGTGCAAATA